GATTGTTGCATTCTGTGTTGTATCGGAGAATCCTGCTTTTCCCTTTGTGTATATTGAGACCTATTGCTGCTGAGGCTGCTGCCACACTGTTCGTCTTCTCCTGCATCTGTTGTTGCGTTTGGGATAGAAGGGCCAGATCGTCTGCGAAGTCTAGATTATCCAACTGCATCCTAGATGTCCATTGTATCCCGCGCTTCCCTTCAGACGTTGACGTCTTCATGATCCAGTCGATCACCAGGAGAAAGAGGAAGGGTGAGAGTAAGCAGCCTTGCCTAACACCGGTCTTCACTTTGAACGACTTTGTCAACTGTCCTCCATGCACAATTTTGCAGTGTAATCCATCATATGAGTTCTGTATGATATTGACTATCTTCTGAGGCACGCCGTAGTGTCGAAGAAGTTTCCATAGTGTTGTTCTGTCCACGGTGTCAAATGCCTTTTCGTAGTCAATGAAGTTGATGTAGAGTGATGAATTCCATTCAATTGATTGTTCCACAATGATCCGTAGAGTTGCGATTTGGTCTGTACATGATCTATCCTTACGGAATCCTGCCTGTTGGTCACGAAGTTGGGCGTCTACGCAATCTTTCATCCTGTTTAACAATACCCTGTTGAAGACTTTTCCCGGTATTGAGAGAAGAGTGATGCCCATGTAGTTATCACACTTGCTGAGATCGCCTTTCTTCGGTATTTTGATCAGGAGTCCTTCTTTCCAGTCTGCTGGTACTTGTTCCTCATCCCAAATCTTATTGAAGAGAATGTGGAGTATCCGTGCAGTTGCCGCTACGTCTGCTTTTAGTGCCTCTGCTGGGATGTTGTCCGGTCCTGCTGCTTTGCCACTCTTGATTTGTCTGATGGCCCTGCTGATTTCTTCAATTGTTGGTGGGCCAACGTTGATTGGGAGGTCCGTGGGTGCTGCTTCGATGTTGGGTGGGTTCAGTGGAGCTGGTCGATTCAAGAGTTCTTTGAAGTGTTCTACCCACCTGTTTTGTTGCTCTTCAATGTTGGTGATTACCTTGCCTTCCTTGCTTTTCACTGGTCGTTCTGGTTTGTGGCGATTTCCAGAGAGTTTCTTTGTCGTGTCATACAATTGTCTCATGTTTCCTTCTCTTGAAACCTTTTCCGCCGCCGTTGCTAAATCTTCCACATACTTACGTTTGTCGGTTCTGATGCTCCTTTTCACTTGTTTGTTAACTTCTGTGTATTCAGCTTGTGCTTTGGCTTTTTCTGCTCTTGTTCGGCTGGTATTGATTTCTGCCTTCTTGTTCCTTCTTTCTTGAATCTTATCCAGTGTATCAACAGTGATCCATTCCTTGTGGTGGTGCTTCTTGTGACCCAGGACCTCATGACATGTTGAAGTGATTGCCTCTTTGATCCCCTTCCAGTTGCTCTCCACAGTAGTTCCTTCTCCATTGAGTAGATCATGAAAGGCCTGGAACTTGTTGCTGAGGACTATCTTGAATTTGTTGAGTTTGTTAGTATCCTGGAGAAAGGCCGTATTGAACTTTTGTGATATTGTCCGCCCCGTTGTCCAGTGCTTCTTGAGTTTCAATTTCATCTTGGCGACCAGTAAGTGATGATCTGATGCTATATCAGCTCCTCTCTTGGTTCTCACGTCCTCTATGGTCCTTCTGAACGTTTTGTTGATGCAAATATGGTCGATTTGGTTTTGTGTAGAGTGATCCGGTGAAGTCCATGTGGTTTTGTGTATGCGTTTATGTGGGAATATGGTGCCGCCTATGACCAGCTTATTGAAGGCACATAGATTTACAAATCTCTCACCATTTTCGTTTCTTTCTCCCAGTCCGTGTCGTCCCATGATGTCTTCATATCCAGTGTTGTCCGTTCCAACCTTGGCGTTGAAATCTCCCATCAGAACGGTCAGGTCCTTTGTTGGGCACTTCTCGACGATTGACTGCAGCCTATTGTAGAATTGATCTTTAGCGTCTTCATTGTAGTCGTTGGTAGGCGCATAGCATTGGATGATGTTCATTGAAATGCCCTCTTTCTTTGTTTTGAACGAGGCTTTGATGATCCCTGGTCCATGAGATTCCCATCCTATAAGTGCATTTTGCGCTTGTTTGGACAGCATCAATGCAACTCCTTGTGTATGTGGTGCATTTTCTTCTTCATGGCCGGAGTATAACAGGAGCTCTCCTGAAGTTAGTTGTTGTTGTCCAACTTGCGTCCAATGTGTTTCACTGATCCCAAGTACCTCTAGGTTGTATCTTCTCACTTCTGCAGCAATTTGGAAGGCTCTCCCGGTGTCTCACATTGTACGAACATTCCATGTACCTAAATAAATGGTCGCTCTGGTTGTCAGAAGGGGCATCAGCCTCGTAACTTCCGAAGGAATTCGGCTTTCATCATGAGGCGTCATAATTCTTCTAAATGAAGACCTTTTGACTCCCAGGGCAGAGTTTAAAAGGTTTGAATAATTTTTTCTGGTTAGCGTTTTTTTAGCGAGTTAGTTTTCCACGGGATGGAGTTGCTAACCCCATGCCCAACCCTCTTCCTTTATCCGGGCTTGGGACCGGCAGTAGCCCCCGGAGGGACTCCAGGCTGAGTCTCATTGTTTTGTGTGGCACATATATATTTGGCGCACTCTTGTACCAGCATATATGTGTTCAAATAAAATAATAATACAAGTTGTTTATGCCGTAATATGTTCCTAAATTTATTTATAATAAAGTTGTCAGTTACAATAAGATATATCATAAGTTAAGGATAAGGTTGTATGTTCCTTATTTCTATGGGATATTGTCAATAAACAATCAAAGATTATATCATTATTCTTAGCGTATGAAGGCAATAGGCTGAAAGAAGGTATATTTGTTGTGAGAAGTTACAAAGCATTTACATAGCCTTCAATCGTCTGTAGCGTGGCGTCGAGTCGAGATTAACTATGAACACCGCTACCAAGAAACACGTGCCAAGTAAATCAGAAGGCGAAGGTTGAACGTAACCAAATAAATCCATAAAATCCCCGAGAAGCCAAATATCAGAAGGCAGTTAGTGGACCAAGTCGAGATATATTCGCTGGCGATCTCGTGGCATCGAAAGGATACCGAGATCGTGCCAGGATACAAGCTTGGTTACAGAACGTAACTGAATTCGCGCGAAGTCACAATCAAAGTGTAAGAATAAGAATGGAAGCACAATATAGCTGTCATTAGCACAGTCAAACAAAAGCACATTAAAACAAACACTGGTACAGTTGGTCATAATAATAATTGTTTTTATTAAACCAGTCGTGTTCTCGTGATAAATGTGAGTCACTACACGTCCATTTGCTTCTTGGTGTATTCTGCCATCTGAACTGACTTCTCATCTGGTCTCCGAGTGTTCTGTCATCCCTGTACTTTCGATCTAATGAAACTGTTCACTCTGTCTGACAGTCGTTGCAACTTCGATACCACTTCAGCTACATATTACTTACAAGCAACCCCGTGATTAGCGTCCACTACACTGGTATAACAGGAAGTCTTTTTAACTGGATAAAGTAAATTCACATTTTGACCCAAACACTACTTTTCCCGTTTCTGTATTGAAAAGGCATCATCAGGAGTAAAAAATTTCTTACGCAGTTGGTCACTTTAGCAGTTCTTACTCTCGACCGAAATGCATTACCTTTGTGCATCAGAATAAATTGTGTCTTATAAAACCAGCTATTAGGAGGTAAGCTTTTTAATAATGTTTTTAATGGAAATATGCATGAATGAAGACAAATTAAAAACACTGTCAAGTTTTTCCTAAAACGTGCTCATGACCATGGAAAAACCTCACTGATACCCTTAAGTTTATAGATCGTTTGAATCGAGAGGGTTGGTTGCTGAATTTGAATTCAAAGATACCAAATAGGATAGTCTGTTAAAAAATTTCCTGGTTTTTATAATTTATGCACATCTAAAGTTATTTTAGTAATTGTTAAGAGGTGAACTATTTTTACTTAAAATCATTCAGAGCATATCTCACACTGATGGATTGAAAGTACAATCAATTAAACAGATATTTCTAGCTATAGAGCATATATTCAATAGATATTTAATCTTGTAAAGCTTTATTTGGTTTGTTAACCAAGTATGTCTCAGAAGGAGTACGTTATAAGTAAAAATATAGTAGCAGTATCCTTTTGGGTGGTTTATTCTATCATAACCCATAAAAAAGTACCAGTAATAATCTTGTTAGACTATAATCATAATTCATTATGCAGTGCTGTAGTGATTTTCCACTGGTTAGTTTGTTAATTTCTGTAATGAAGGGTAAGTCAGCGTTATTAACCTAACAATTAATCACTCAACTGATTTGCAATCCACCAAATTTTGGAAGCAATTAGAGATGCGGAGTGCGGAACTTGAATTCAAAGATTTGTTTAAGCAAAACAGTTAGTTACATTGTTTAAACTGACTTTAAATAAATTCCAAATCATTTTTAGTAAAATTACATTTTAAATCTTCCCTAAAAAATAAATGGTAAATATGTGTTAGCATGTCTTATATCATCAATTTTCCCAAAAGTTTTCTTTCAATATGTCTTTTGTCGCGATTCCGACATCCTAATTAAAGAATAAAGATGCAAATCACAAGGAGATTAGATTGACTAGAGTTTTTGAAGAGCAACATTTGTGTATTCTATCACCATAAGCATTCCAAAGCTATATATTCATATTAGTAAGAGTCTAATGTCCAACTTGTACTGAACTTTGTATTAACTGTTTCGTATAGACTTTCAATGTAAAGATTTAGTTTGTGAAACATTTAACAATTTTTTCCGAAAAATTATTGACTATGATGATTTTTTATGAAGTCAATTCCGTAGACTGACTAGTATATTTTAAAGTGATTCATCTATGTACCTGGAAATCGAATTTGTAACCACCTACAATAAAAGTAAGTTTACTAACTTACTCTGCAACTAGTTTGTTAACATTTCATAAGAATATATTTTCGTTGTTATTCTTTTAAAGCATATTTCCATTATAATTACTCTTCTCATTTTAGACGTTCGTAGACAAGCCTATAAAAAATCCAACTCTGTGAAATATTATAATTATGCTAGTCTTATTAAAAAGTTGCCTATTCCAGCAAAACTACGTGCTTTCTTGTCGTATTGTGATTTATGGCCGGATTTGGATAGATCTCAAGTCAAAGTCGTTAAAGGAAACCAATTTCATCGCAATCAAATAACAAATACTATGATTAACAATATATTTTATGAAAATATAGAGTTGTAAAAATTCTATTAATTATCCTGTTTTTATGCTTCATTTCAGTCATAATTGTAACCGCAAATATCATTTTATTTTTAATTTGTTTGTTTCAGATCATAAAATTTTCTGACTTTTCCTGTTCTTCACCGCTATATTTTTTTAATATTGATTAATAAATTTACATTTCTCCATTACTGCTTATACTCTTACTACCTTTACCACTACGGGATTTGAACTGATAACTGCATCTCTGTGCTAATGTGGTATGGCAACTCGAACTGATGTACGTACGTACGAAGTTCTACGTTGTTGTTAACTGACTGATTTCGTAAAATTACTTTATTTTTATTTAGTATTATCTTTCGAAAATTTGATTAGATCTTAGTTTGAAATTTTGTTCATCAAACAATATACGGTGTAACTTCATGTTAACCGTCAAACGGACAATAACCTAATCAACTGTATTGACAGAAAAAGCTTAAAATTAGCTAGGAGACTCCTAGGACTAAGTAATAGTCAAAGAATACATCATTTATTTCAAAATGAATTTCCTTACAAATTTAACATTTTAAGTACAAGAATAATTTATATCATTCATTAAAATATTTTACTGTTAGTAGAGTGGAGGTTCATTGAGTGATATCGTTCAAAATAGCATTCGACTAGTAAATGTTAACTATTGGCTACTTATAAAACATTGATAGCAGCAAATTAGAGTTTGTTTATATAATTTGTAAGACAGTTTAGGCTGATATATCGTCGAAGTGTTGTTGATAATCGGATAAGAACTTAATTAAGCTTCATTTCCATTATGAACTAATACAATTATCAGTATTGGAAAATTTTCCCATGTGTTGGCCCATAAATTCTGACTGTAAGAACTGTTCAATAATCATGGATTTCCAGTCCCGTCCCAGGTGATAGTGATTTTTGAAGTATAACTATTAGCAGTTATTTCAAACAGTTATACTATCATATTTTGATTTAACCTAACACGAAAAGTCGCCACAGCTTTTAGAATCAGTTAGGTAGTTTTATGATTTCTTCAGTTCGAGTGAATTATTCTGATCCCAATTTTGTGACTGATTTTACATTAGGGGTTCTGACAAACATTTATTCAAACTGTCGAAGCGGGCTTTGGATATCCTTTACTTTGACAGTTTATTGAAATTTATTCAAACACGAATTCAGGCTGTTACGTCTTTAAAACAGAATTGAGTAGCTTACTAACATGTGGTTTAAAATTAGTAGTAATGCATTAGTTTGCTTAAAAAATAACCCTTCATGAATGTTACTTTAGAGATTAATCGGTATTTACATTGTGTATGTCAGTATGAAACATGTACAAAATTCAAGGATATCTGTAAATATAATTTTTTATGTGTTAGTATGACTTTGGTTTCTGAATTTTCAAAGATACCAGTATTCACTATAGAGTAGGTAATTTTCCAAGTGTATTGGTAAGTCCAAATGTTTAACGAAATAAGCGTAGTTGACACCTGATAAAAGTAATTTTTCAAAAAGAAAATAATTTATATATTATGACAGCAAATGTACAACTTGATGAATAATCCTAGCAAAATTTACTTTCACATATCAATGCCATATATTTGAGATATTACCTAGTCCAAATTATTCTACATAAGTGCAATAGTGAATATGATTTATTCTTGAAAAAAAAAGGAAAAATTGACTCGTTGCTGTAGTTGTTCATTAACATTTGTTTCCTTACAATATATTAAATTATCATTATGCAGATATCTTAAAATAATGAGAAACAACTATAGTCATGAGCAAAGATGAATTTGTAATTTGAACACAGTTTCTCATCAACTAACATTGATGTTCAATTTAGGATTTTTAGACCAGCTGTGTTCGAATATTGTCAGGTTTTGTATCCATAGTGGTGATTTTTATACAAAAAATCTATCGTTGTAAATATTAATCAGCACTTGGAAGTCAGGGAGTGTAACAACTCACGAACTGGTTCACATTTTTATAAAGACAAATATGTAGTTATCAATCTAAAATGACGAATACGTAGTCAGAATTGATAGAAATCGGTTTACAAGATGTAACTGTAGGAAAGCGTAAAAGTATTTGTATATAGTATAAATACTCATACCTCTGAATAATAGCTAATCACTATTAATCAACGTATGATTGGTAAAAAAAATATGCCTAAGATCAAATCGCAAATTTTATGTAAGTACATAGGGAGAGGACGAAAACAATGAAAGCTGTATGTTGAAATGGTTATAATATCAAGTCTAAGATAGATTCACTTTTATATAAATGGTATCCTAATCATTAAATATCACTTTAATGAGAAATACCGGTAATAATATTGTTTTTTCAAAATACCTGTTTGTTTTACTGCATATCTTCTCAATGAAATACGACAAATAGCTTGTAATTCAAATGGTTGTTGAATATACATGTAAGTATTGATGTCATTCCATTTGATATTCTTTTTATTTTTAATTACTGTACGATAAAATAACCACGTATAAAATAATCTATTCCATATTTCTTCCCATTTATGCGTTACTGTCATATGTTCAGAAAAAATAGTTAAAAAATGCAGTTCCATAGCATATCGGCATTTATCATCTAATGTTCTATTATAATTTTCATAATATTTCTTAATATCATTTAATATTTTACGTATTTCATTTATATTTGATAATATTGTAGGACAAATTTCTGGAGTTGCAATTATCAATTCAAAAAGCAATGATAAATTATGAACTGATCTATATTGACCAATTATTCTATTGTTCAGGTATTCAACTGCACTACCAGGCATAACATGATAATTACTCCAATTGAAAAGCTATTAAATTTTTTAAAAAAAGTGATTAAAACTCAAAATTTCATCAAGTAAACAAGTATTCTGTTCTCGGTCAGTCACAAAATGGAATCTGTACATATGTACTCCAGTTCAAGTTGCCATTCCCTATTAACATAGAAATATTGTTAGGCCAAATCCCAGATTAGTAGAGGTAGTGACAATATCAGTGGTGATTAAAAGGACAAGACATCGAAGATACGATTCAAGAAAATATGAATTAGTGAAATAAAAATACAAAGAAATGTCATGAGGAATTTACAACCTCAGTATTTGAGAGAAGACAAAAAATAGATGCACCTGCTCAATTGCAAACAATTTTGAGCCATGTAATTCAAAGTCTCTAACTGATAGTTACGATAATCATGCTGACTTCAACCAGATAGTCTGCATCTATTAACATGGCTTAGTGGAATTATCAGTGACTTCATGGACTGATGGCATGTTTTGGTTTGTCCGCCCCTAGCTTTCTTCCAGCCTGCTCCTGCACCAGAAAACATTGCCCGTAGAGGTAGGGGGTGGTTGAACATACGTAACACATATTCCACCCACTTCAATTGATAAAGATTCACTACTTTCAACCGATTGTCTATCTTTGCCTAATACTATATTCTTAATTCAAGCCTCGCTTACTCCATGGTCTCAAAATACACGAGTAACGCTTCGTAGACACCTATGATCGAATCCTGTTCTGTTCTATTAAACTTATATAATTCATAATTCTCAAACGTATTTCAAAGTTGTACATAAATTGATAGAGTATACATCCAATATAAACGATGTTATTTGTGATAAAAGTGAGACAAACTCCGTGAATCATTATGGGAACAAGTAACTCAAAGGGGTTTTATTAAATTGTTAGTAGCTCATAACCACAATTCTGCTGGATGTTCTTTGTGAAATAAAAAATACGGCAGAATCAGTGGTTTTAATTAGTAGCTCTTTTGAACAGATCCAGTGACAGATATGTATGGAATGGATTTTAAATTATCATTTTCAGATCATATGTACATACAGCCTGAAGGGAAAGATAAACCTGGATAAAGTAGATAACGGTGTTTATTAACCAATACGTTTAGGAATGACTTAACTAATAAAACATTAAGTAGTACCTCAATACAATTATAATCCCAATAGTTGAGATCATGAGTCATTTGAAGCTTGACCACCATGGAAAACCTGGAAGCACTGAACGGCCGTTTCGTCCTATTGTGGGACTCCTCAGAAGGGCGCATCCACGAGCCCGCCTCTATAGATTCGAACCTAGAGCCTATCAGTCTCGCGCGAGAGTACTTAACCACTAGACCACTGAGCCGGCATTCAACTTCAACTAATCCAGGGAATTGAGCAACATATCCACCAATGTCTTCAGTGAGTTACTATCTCACAACAGACCCGGTTGACTTTCGTAATTTGCCATTAAAATTTGACCAGTGAAAAAGTTACTTTTTATGTTGAATAATAAAGTAAATATTACCGGTGTGACACAATTTATTATTATTATCGTTGTATTATATTTTCCAGAAAGGATCAAATAAGTATTTGAGACTTTTCATTAAAACGTAGTATATATCGAATAATTTAATTGTTAATTACGAACTTGATGGTTAATCATTCATCTCATCTATTTATTTTTTTATATTATCAATAGCCTGTTAAGAAAATGGAATAAAAATTATTATAATTTTCGAAAATTTACAAATTTGATTCTAAACAAACTAATCTATTTTCAGAAGGGGTTTTGTGGAGATTTTAGTAATTTCAGTAGTTAAAATCATGTTCTAGTGAGAAGCAGTAACCAGTGGAGTTCAACCAGGTCTGCTGTGAGATATCAGCCCACTGAAGACAATGGTGGATGTGTCGCTCAATTCCCTGGATTAGTTGAAGTTGAATGCCGGCTCAGTGGTCTAGTGGTTAAGTACTCTCGCGCGAGACTGATAGGCTCTAGGTTCGAATCTATAGAGGCGGGTTCGTGGATGCGCTCTTCTGAGGAGTTCCACAATAGGACGAAACGGCCGTTCAGTGCTTCCAGGTTTTCCATGGTGGTCAAGCTTCAATTGACTCATGATTTCAACTATTGTAATCTATTTTCATTATCTAAATTTTTGAATAAGTGAAGAATAAAAACAAATATACTGAAATGCATTGATTAAAATAATTTACTGCTTACCTCACTATAAGAAAATGGTTCTGTAATAAATGCTTGTGGATAAATTAAAAGCGACGAAACTGATCGGAGTGAGAATTCAGGAGTAACAAAAAAATTTTCTGGTGAATTTGCTGCCATTATATATTGCAATTTAAAACATCCTTGTTGTTCAGCTAGTTGCATAGCACTTTCCC